AGCCAGTCCTAATAATGTGGTCTGGCAAAATCTGAATTGGTGTGATTTGGTTGTGATTTGATGAAGTATCTTGGTTTTTAAACATGCCATCATGTACTGTGTGAATTTAATTAAACCAAATGGAAAAGTTTAGAATAAACTGGGTTTTTTTTCACCAAGATGAATAACTGACTGGGATCTGTGATTACTCATTTTTAATATTATGCTCCCTTACACTTTTGCTGGTGGTTTTTGTGTTTGATAAATGTGTGTTAGAGAAATGAAGTAGAGTTATTGTAAGGTATTAATTTACTCTCTGATTTAATGTTTCACACTGGATTTTTGCAGTGAAAGTTTTGCTGCTGCTCCCCCACCTCTTTTTTCCCATTGTTTGAGTAGCATTTTGCTTAAAATAAAATTGTCACTTGTTATCATTGAGGGATGAATCTCCAATATTTGGTGTTTAAATAAAACCCTAGCTGTTAAAATAAGGCAGTGCATAAGAATTAAATCTTCTGAAAATACAGGTTCACATCTTTAGGCCATCCTCAGCATTTCCCAATCCTCCTGAGAGTAAGGAACCAAGTAGGTGATCTAGGTGGGGCAGGAAAACGTGGCAGAGAGAGGAGTTTCATAGCAAGCATCAGCAGAAGGTAAACAGCTGAATATTTAACTCAGAATAACTGAAGCTTTTTCACCAGAAATTGGGATGAATTGTAAGTGATGAACTAGAGAAGTCTCTTCTTTAGGGGTTTTTGTGGCTGAAGATGAGAAAAACTGGGGTCATATTAATGTAAATCAGTATCAGTGCAGGACTCTTATATTTTCTTTCTGATGGCCATGAACTCTGAGATGCCAGATTTTTGCTTAGATGCTTGGCCATGTGTACATGGGCATCTCCCAAGAGTTTGGAGTTGCTTATTTCCACTGTAAGAGAACATGAAAACTCCTGTTATTCTGGAAGTTAACTATTGACAATTCTATTAACACTGGTATTTGCTTGGCTGGAGTTATAAAACTATAGGGAAAGGATCCTGAGCCTTTTTAGGGCTGATATGCATTATTCTCTGTGGGTTTTTGCCAAGTTGTGTTGTCAGGGAATCTCAGCACTTTTGCACACCCCAATCCCCTTCCTGATGCCTATAAAAATTAGGTCATTGCTTCTGTTCACATCTGTTTGCACAAGGGTTGGGCTTTATTTTTTATAGGTAAATAGGCATGATTCAATAATATCTGGGATCATATCTTCTGCTTGGGCAATCCTTCTAATTAATTTATGGCTTGCTGTGGGGTTTTTTGCACATAGTCTCTGCAGTGATTAATCAGAATTCTAAAACTGGCAGCCCATAGCAGCATTACAAATGACAAAGCCAAACCTAAAAGTTGTAACCAGTTAACTTACTCTAGCTTCTTGAGAGTCATTTGTGGAGAGAAGTACCCCTCATTCCTGGGAAGGATCAGATGTACTTGAAATGATGATAACTGAATGAAACTTCTGATTTTCATTATGCCAAGTGAGCATTTCATGGAAGATACCCTGTGGCAATGGTGATCAGTGCTAGCTTTAGCCTGTTTTGCATGCAGATTGGATAAAAATGGGTACTGAGCCCTGTATCTGCTCAGGAACTCTGCACCAGTACTTTTTACAGTAACAACCATGTTGTGCATAATTATCTTTTATTGAGCCCCACTAAACTGGGGAAAAAATGGAAGAGAGTAAATAGAATATGGAAAGGTACCATTGAGGATGACAGAATGACAGAATGCCCTGGGTTGGATAGGACCTTAAAGGCCATCGAGGTCCAGCCTCCCACCATGGGCAGGGGCACCTTCCACTGTCCCAGGGTGCTTAGAGCCCCATCCAGCCTGGCCTGGGACACTGCCAGGGATCCAGGACAGCCACAGCTGCTCTGGGCACCCTGGGCCAGGGTCTGCCCACCCTCACGGGGGGAATTTCTTCCCAATATCCCATAACCCTCCTTCTGTCAGTTTGACCCCATTTCTCCTTACCCTGTCAAGCCAGGCCTTGTACATAGTCTCTCTCCACCTTTCCTGTCAGCTCCTTCAGGTACTGGAAGGTCACATTGAGGTCACCCTGAGGCTTCCTTCTCCAGGTGGGCAATGCCAGCTGTGCCAGCCTTTCCTGCAGCAGAGCTGCTCCATCCCCCTGCTCCTCCTGGAGCCTCCTCTGGGCTCTCTGAGCAGCTCCAGGTCCTCCCCAGGGCTGGAGGCAGCTCTGCAGATGGGCTCTCACCTGAGGGGCAGAGGGCCAGAACTGCCTCCCTTGGCCTGCTTTGCTTCTCCTTCTCCCTGACCTCTGGTTGCTTTCTATACTGCTGTTCTATATGTGACAGCACAGCATTTTTTGGCTCTAATACAGACTTCATGTTCACTTTTTCCTTGCACCTCCGTGGTTCTGCAACAGAGTTGGTCTTAGAAATCTTCCCAGTGGGAGAGGCAGCTTCATCACTGGAGCATTGTGGCTCCTGTGGGATGGGTTTGTGGGAAGTGTATATGAATTTATTTTTCCATCTAGTTGGAGGTGCTAAATGACTGTATAAAAAAAGGGAGGCAGAGCTGTGAGTGCTTCAGAGAGGAGCTGAGAAGTCTGAGAAGTCTCAACTTCGTGCTAAGTCCTGCTGACTTCAGAGTGAGCTAGCAAGAGGAAGATGAGCAGGGAGGTGCACATCTAGGAATCAGGGCAGCTTGTCATTAGGTGTGATGAAGGCAAAAGGATCTCAAAGGTGACCTAGTTTAACAACTGAGGGAGAGGATGGAGGATTGTGGGAAGCTGCTGTTCTCTTTCTCTTAGAGAAAAATTCAGCCTTGAAAGAACGATGAGCTACGTTTGTTCCTCAAAAGAGTCACAGTGTAGATGAAAAGAGATGTTGGAGGGATTAAAGCTGGAAAGGATTAATATTAACCAGAACTGAAGAATTGGATTAGTAGCTGTGTGCTGTAGGCTACACAATTATAGGAGCCAACTAGCAACAACAAGAACAAAAAAGTGGAGAAAGAGCTTGTGAAAGGAAAGAAATTTTCTTATTGGAGTGATGGAAAATGAGATCTATTCGTACTTTAACTGCTTTAAATGAAGTCAATAAAATCCAGCACACTTGTGGGTATATTTCTATGAAACATTTACTTTACAATAAACAGTTCTTTGATTTAAACAATGCTGCTAATTATTAAAAGGTGCTTTGGATGTATTGCTCTAAAGAGCATATGTTACCATAAATTACCAGTGGCCATACGTGAGCTGGTTTTACAGTTGGGATTCTTCTGATACCAGATGAATTGGTTAAAACTGTAAAAGAGAACCAAACCAACTGGTTAAAACTGTAAAAGAGTACCAAACCAATTGGTTAAAACTGTAAAAGAGAACCAACCCAAAAGGTGCTAAATCTGTTCATCATGGTTCTGGATTATTGAAATACTTCAGTGTGTGAGGAATGAAGGAAGAATAAGGAGATGCCTGTAGGAGAAACAGAGTATGCAAAAGTTGGAGGTAAGGCTACTATAATACAGAGGGTATGTAGAGATAAGAGGATATAGTGGGGTTTTTCTAATTTTCTGTGAGATAAGCCAGGGAGAAAAGATAAATGATAATTGCTTTGGAATCTCCGTCACTGATATAAAGACTCTACACAAGGAGTATTGCAAAAGGGAACATAAAATAAGATAGTTTTGTGTTACTTTTGAGTAGTACTTTCACAGATAATAAATTTTTAAAAATCTGTGATTTTCTGCTTGAGAACACCATAAATGGTTTCATGTTGTTCATGTCACAACCCAGTACTGTTTGGAGCATGAAGAAATGTAAATGATAAAGAAGCAGACAAGATAAAAAATGGGCATAAGGCAGTGCTGCAGCCTCCTGGCACTGCCAGCAGCTCTGGCAGGTGCCTGTGGTGTGCAGCAGCTCCTCAAGGTGCTGTTTGCCCCACCACTTCTGATGGTCCTCCCTGCAAGGGTCAGAAATGCCCTTTGGCCTCCAGCCTCATTTATTCTCTGCCCAGATGGTTTTGTGCTCTTGTTGTGTAATGTTTCCATGGCTGAAGCTTTGGTCCTGCCCACACCTCTTGCTCTCCCACTGGCACTCAGGAAGCAAAATGCACAGGATCCTTCAAGCTTCAGCACCAGCCATGGGTTTTATCCTCCCATTTTCTTTACCCTGAAAGTAAAGAAATGTTAATTTTTGTGGAAGGGTATCAGCTGGGTGATTTTATTATCTTGAGATCACATTTTCAGGATTATAGAGGTTGTATTTATTTCAGTGTTGGGGACATGGAGATTTTAATCAGAGATTAAAGTCTCCTGAAGAACTAGCTGCTACCATACAGTGAAGGAATGAGCAAATGTACAGCCATTGGTACAAAAGACAGCAGGAGAGCCTGGCAGGGACTGACTGCAAGCAGATCCTTCATGTTCTTCTTGCCTTTACAAAAATGTCTCTGGCTGGATATCAGGAGAAGAGAGTAGAAGAGATTTAATTTTGAATGTGGACCTGTAAAGTTGCCCATTCTGTTGGGTTAGAGGAGTGGATCTCTGGTGTCCTGAGGAATAGAGGCAGCAGAGCCCATGTCCTAATAGCCCTCAGTGTGCTAGATGGTTACCAGGGTGAAAAATGAATGTTTATTCACTCTTTGAATGTAACACAGGGCAGGCTGGTCTTTTGTTATTTCCACATCCTTCCAAAGTTTGGTGAGTTATAAAGTTACACATAAGTGGCATGGCAAAAGTCCCTAACAAAACTGTCTTGCAGAGAATGGGAAAAAACACTTTTGTTCTGAGGAGAGTGGGCTATCAGCATGGACTAGATTAAAGCACACTGAATTTTGTAGCTGTGGCAACTTTCTGTGTAATCTCCTGTTTTGAGAAATAAAGATAAGATTAGTAAAACATCCCTTGTATCTGATGCTATTGTTGTGATAGTAGAGAATATTATTTCTTTCTCTGTGGCCTTATTAAATGTAAGAGCAAAGCTAAACCCAAATATTTCTTTTTATTGTTTTCCAAAGGATTCATCCCCCTGAATTTTTCAAGAACAAATATGCTGTGGATGAAGCCTACTATGTGACTGAGGTGAGTTGTCTGTGGCTCTGAATATTTTTTTCTGTGAATACAAAATCAATGAGTGGCAATGACTTTGCTTAATTTTAGTCCCCTTCTCCTGACTTGTTGGGATCTTCTCTCCCTCCCCTCTTACAGGAAAATGTCCTTTTATATTACAAAGCACTTGTAAATTTTTTTAAAGACTGCTCTTTTGATCTGAACATAGTTCTTAATCCAAAGACAGTCTCATAAACATGTTCTGTGCATGATGAGACCTGTCAGTGTTTGGCTTTATCCAACTAAAACAAGTCACTAAATCCATTTTTTGGAATGCCTTTGAGATTTGTGGAGATTGCTGTCAAGGAGGTTCCATGTCCTAGCTTGGACTGGGGAGCCTACATTTATTTTATGCCTCTAAAAAGCTGTTGGGAAAGGTGTGGTGTTTGTGAGGTCCCCAAGATGAGGTGAGAGATGAGAATCTGATTCCATGTTCTCAGAAGGCTGATTTATTATTTTATTATATTATATTATATTAAAAGAATGCTATACTACACTATACTAAAGAAAGAGAAGGATACAGACAGAAGCTTGACAAGAATGAATAATAAAAACCCTCAGAGTGACTGACTGACTCCTCAGAGTGCAACCCAGCTGATGGTGATTGGTCATTAAGTAAAAACAATTCACATGGAACCAATCAAACATGCACCTCTTGGTAAATGATCTCCAGCCACATTCCAAAGCAGCAAAACAGGGAGAAGCAAATGAGATAATGCTGTTTTTTCTCTGAGGCTTCTCAGCTTCCCAGGAGATGAAATCCTGGCAAAGGCTGCATGCCTTACTCTTATTTTCTCCAGAATCATCCTATGACTTGAATAAGCAAATATATTCACATTTCTGGGTGCAGGTGTGCCTTGCTTAGTTAGGTTTCTGATTGAATTTCTGAGCAGATGTTTGGGCACTTGTGCACCTGGCCAGCAGTGGTTTCTGTGCTAGGAAGGCTCAGCAGGTGAGGACAGTATTCCTGCCAAGCTCTGTGTGTGACTTTCATGGAGAGCAGCTTGAAGAAGACTCCTCTGATTCTTCTGTTCCCATAGAACATTAATTCTGACTCTCTAGACCACAAGTTTTGTTCTCATCAGCTGTGAGGAGATTTCATTTAATTTTCCTAATGAGTCCAGCAACAAAGTAGGGTTTGATCTGTGTGTCAGGAGCTGGGAGTGGAGGGAGCTGTGGAGAGGTGGATTTTTGCCATATGTGAGTTGGAGTCTTGTTGTGTCCAGGTGCTCCAGTGCTCATCTGTCAGATGGTGAAAATTGCAAGTGGAAAATAAATGTTTTATTTTTTAAAATCACATTTTTAAAAATCACATTCACCTTAGTTGGTTTGGGTCACTTTCTGTCAACAAATGTCTTCATTGCAGTTCTATTCTCTGCTTTTTTCCTGCTTAAAAACTTCATTGATGGGAAAAGGAGCTTTTTATGTGGACCAGTAAATAAATTTAAAAATTAAGGCTGCTTTTGGCCTGGACTGCATGTATTGAAGTGGGAAGCTGTTGAAGCTTGCAGCATAACTGTTCAGCTCTCAGTGGTTCCTTCAGCTTTTGGCTTTTTTGCCAAGGAATTTGTTTTCCACCATCAGAACACCAGGGGCCATTTTTATAGAATAGCTTTACATCAATGAATGACCAACATGTGTAAGTATGTTATCCTGATATTTCATGGAATTAAGAAACAAAAAAAAATAAAGGGTAGAGTTGATATTTTTGAGCTTTACTGCCATATTCTTTCTTTTATTAATATTAGTAGTGTGCTATTAAGGTGTTTTAAAGTGGATAGAATATTGCTCCATGCAGCTCTGTCATGTGTTCATTGCCTCTAGATAAGTGTAATTCAGCACCCACCCTTCCCATCTGCAGCTGCTCTGAAAGCCCAGCACTCTACAAGCCCAATGATTCTGTTCTCAGTTTGTGAATGTTTGAGGGAGACTGAAGGAGCCTAATAAAAGGATTGGTCAGTAAAAGTGAGCCAGTGAAAATAACAGTAAGCATTTAGCACATTGTACCACAATAATATCAGTGCAAATGTATGTGCAGGATAGAGCACCTTGGTGTTCCTTATTTCTGTGTGACATTACAGCTTGGCTCCTATGTTATGCTTTCCTAATGATGACAATAGACATTATTATAGTTGGTATTTATGTCTTTAAAGGAGACAATGAACTTGATCACTGTCAATATTTTGTATTCTGCTGTCTCTTGTTGCATATCTCAGGAAATACTACAATATCTGAAAGGTATCAGAGGAACATTTTTGTCTTTGCAGCTCATTTACTTTATATACAGTGAATATTGATGAAATTGGTATCAATGTGGTTATGTGGAAGAAAAAGAAAAGACAAATAACAGTAATCTAAACCCTCTTTTTAGCTTTCCAGTGTATTGGCTTCGAAGAAACCTGCTGTACTTCTCACTTTGGTAAGTCATATTGGAAAATACTACATTTCTTTAAAAAGGATACCAGTTTACAATCTAGTTTTCTGGCCCCTCCATGGTTTCAAGATTTGTAGCCTCTGGCCTTATCCCATCTGCATTCTGTCTGCCAAAAGCTGTTTTGGTTTTCTGGTAAAACACCACAAGCCTATCGACCACGAGGGCCTCCACCCTCCCCACTCTGACTCCAAACCCCCTTTTCCTTTCATGCTGTTCTGGTCATGTCATGAGCAGCTTTGGGCCTTTCTGTGGGAATTCCACAAAGGTTCAGGGAATACTTTTTTTTTTGCATAGAGTGGTTTAATAAGAACAGCTTCTGTTCTGGGAGGAGTGAGGCAATATCAAATGCTTGCTAATTTTGAATGGTGCTTGCTTATTTCTTGGGAGCAAGCATGAATGAATGGAGGTGAAGGCTGCAAGTTTCTCCTTCCCATCACCTCCCAGCTGCTCCCCTGCTTTACAGGTGTTTTGTAAACTCCTACTATCTGTTTTATTGTCTCTAATATTTATAAAAATTATTTGCTGACTCTGAGCTTTCCCTTACAGCAGATGCAGTGGCAGCTCCTGGATTTCTTGTTTTCCCATGATAGAGACCAGGCAGAAACCATAGCAAAAAAATCCCTCCTTAGGAAGGTACATGGCCCTAAAGAACAGTTAAGAACAGACGCCCTAAATAGTTTTCAGTCTTTCTTTCACTTATATTTGTACACTCTTAAAAGATAACCCTATGGCTTAATTTCATGTTCTTTAAGAGAAATGAGAGAAATGGAATGTTTGACTATCTTGTGCTTCTTATTGTGCATTTCTTCACATGGAGTTGTTGAGTAGTTATCACTCTGGGAGCATCCTGTTGTAATCAGGAATTTTCACATCATTTTTGGCTGAGGGGAGGGTGCTGTGGTGCTTTCACATTCCTCCCACTGCCATGAAGAAGCATTCAGAGAAAGGAAGAGCTGTTCTCTGTCTGCTGCTGAATGGAACCCTGGTCCTCTCCTCCTGTGGTCTGGTTCCAGAGCTGCTGCTCTGCAGGGCTCCCCAGGCACATGTCAGAAGTGTTCATCTGCTGGCTAGCAGCCAAAATACTCTTGCTTATGCTGCTTGCTTGAATGGAAAGCTGGAGGGGAGCAGCAAGCAAATTGAAATAGTGACAAAGCAAATTTAAATTGCCAAGGCAGGGCATAATCATTTATTTTAATATTAAATGACTTTAGAAAAGCTTTGCTACTTTTCATTCTTGTGCCCTGTATAATTATATTATAGTCTCACACCTCCCTCTCAAGATGCAAGGGCATTAGAAACCCAAGCTTGTCTTTTTCCTATGCAGCACATCCTGACCTGAGTTCTGTGCTGCTCTCCTATGGAACTGATTATTTCTTATATTGGGCTGTGTTTGAACAAACAGTCAGGGGTTTTTTATTTATAGTGATTCAGGTAAACTTATGTGCAAGATTTCCCAAATACTTCCTGCAATCAGGTTCTCCCCATGATTTCAATTTTCAAGACATGTGTTTGGCTCAGAATCACAGTCCTTTTTAATCTCTTTCCTCCCAGCGTGGTGTTAATACTGACAGTGGAAATGTCTCCAAAGAAGCTTCCTTTGAGGGGATCAGCCAGTAAGTGACACAGCTTTTTTGTACATTAATTGTTACGTGGTTATGTTGAATTCATTTTACATTGCAAATTAAATTATGTTTTTTCTTGACGAAAGGATGTTGAATGGCAGATCAGATGCCAAATATTTTATTTCTAAAGAAGTTTTGATACATGTTTTTGAAGACTTGAAATATAGTCAGGTTTTTTTTTTGAAATCTCTCTTTCATCTAAGTTAATCCAAATTTTCTTTTTGTCTGTGTTTATACTGTAGCTATTTAAAACCAAATAGACCCATCCTGATACATCCATTTTCACTTTTGTGATTGGAATATTTGATTTTCAGATTGAAGAAAAATTAATCTTTAAGAGTAGCCTTTTTCTCTTACTGAGTTCCTTGCACATTATTAATCTAGATATTATGGATTCTGGTAATGCACAGAAAAATTGTTACATTATAGGTGTAAAATAAATTCACAAATCAGAAGAAAAAGGAATAATCATTTCTCTGTCTAGATGTGAGCTTTTAGTGTTCTTAGCTGTCTTTTTATGAAGTTTGGCTACCAGTGAGGTAAAAATGTCTTCCTGCATGCAGTGTTTTGAAAGGGCAGTAAATAGAAATACATTACAGCCTGCTCTGGGATGTGAGCATGATGGCCTCAATTTTTAATGAAACACAACTGTCTGTTCTGTTATGATATTTTTTCAAGATAATTTTCTGATTTTAGCTCAAGTGTATGGCAAAAAGAAACAGACTGCCCTCATTAAAGGCCTGTTATCATTAGCAGTTGTGCTGAGATGTTGATCATTGACTCCCAGACACCTCACTGTATTTATTTCCATCCTCCTGTGTCAGCAGCATGTTGATTCTACAGTGAGGATGGTTGGGCACAGAACTGGCTGCAAGTCTGGGCACTCATTTGTGTAATCTGAGCATGTTTTGTGCTGGGATTGTTTCTTTGTGTCAAGTGATCTGAAATCTGCAATCTGATTTCATAATTACTTAGCTCTCCCCTCTGTATCCTAAAGGGGAGTTTCATGGTTCTGTCAGGGATATTGGGAACAAGGTGCCAGGCATTTAGACATCTTTTGCTGCCCACTGAGTTCAATATGAAGTGTTCCACAATACACACAGGTCACTTCTAACTAGTGTTTGGTGTCCTCTCTGCTGTTACAAGCACTCTGAGTTCTGTTGTCTGCTTTGTCCAAGTAGATGGTCTGCATACAGATGGACTCCAAAATCTGTGTGGAGCCATATCTCCAGTTTTATCTGATACACCTCCACATACAATACAGTTATTAACTTCACCAGCAATTCTTTATTGGAATGCTGTACAACAGTCTGTTTGAACTACCAAAACCCCCTTTTTTACCTGAATTCCCCTAAACTCTGTTTAAAGAGTTTAATTAGTAGCCCATTCACTAGTCAACATTAAGCTGGGAAGCCACTCCATTCAGCACTTCATTTGAGATTTTAAATGAGTGTCTCCTACAAGACTAAATGATGTTTAAGCATTGGCTTCTCAGTTAGTGCTGAGTGTGCTCCCTGTGTGCTCCAGGAGTGCTTCTCCATTCCTAGCAGGGATTTCCAGCTGGCAGCAGACATTTCTCTTTGGCACTTGGCACATGTTCATCCCTCTCCACTCCCTGGCACTGGGTAATTCATTTTGCTGCCTTGGACAGGTGTGGTTGGTACCTTCCCCTCCCTGTTGGGATCTCTGGCTGCTCACAGTGACCCTGAGATTGTTCAAAGTCTCTTTTCCCAGCCCCAGCGCTTGAAGAAGCAGTCAGGGCTCTTCATTTCTCAGTCTCAAGGTTGTTTATTGTTCCTTATCTATAAAATTCTTTCTCCTGCCCTGCCAGGTCCATCCAGCAGGACAGTTCCAGGCACTCTGCCTGCCCCCAGGGCAGGGTTCTGTCTTTATACTAAAAACTACCTGTACAATGGTTACAATTCCTTCCCAATACCCATCACCTGTGTTAGACAGTGAGCTTCTACTCTAAACCAATCTGTGAGTGCCACCATCACAGCAGAAGATGGAGGCCAAGAAGAAGGAGAAAGGCTGGACACCCCCAGATTCCTCCATCTTGCCCCCCTGAACCCCCATTCTAAAAACCCCCAAATCTACTATTTCAGTTTGTGATAAATTCACAATCATTCTATTTAATTTGTCATGGCTTGCAGATCTTCATCCAAGGTTGGTAACTTGCTCTGTGGGTCATAATCAAACCCACAGGGGCATTTTGGGCTCTGTGCCAGGGTCTCTGAGCCCCCTGGCAGGGTCCTGGCTGCTCAGGACAGCCTGAGGGATGTGCTGGGTGCTGACACCTCCCAAGCTCACAGTATGGGAGAGCATGCACTGATTTTGTTGTTAGATCAACTCCCCTCTTCTGACAGAGACCATGCCTTCAAACCACTTGTCACTCCAGTCTTTCTTGATCTCCCTGGTTCTGTTTGTGTCTTCTCCTGGGCTGTGGTGGCTCTGGTGAGCTCCTGCTTGGTTCATGTGCAGGGGGTAACTGGGGGTCTGGAGGAGGGGGTGAGCTCCCTTTTAAACTCTGCTTGTCTCAGAATTTTGTAACTGACTGTATAAATCAGTCCATTTTATATTTGTTTTCAATATAGACCTAAATCAAATTCAACTTTCCTGCTTCTCCACCTCTCCTGTAGCAAATGTTTCCTTTATAGAAAGATATATTTCAGATGTATTGATTGTTTCCAGGAGGATTACACCCAGAGCAATGTGTTCCTTCAGATGTGCTCCCTCCTGCCTGCCTGTGCCTTGCTGGCTCTCAGTGCTCAGCCCAGCCAGGCTCTGCCCTGGCCATGATGCTCTATTTTATGTCTGATCTCCTGTTTGTTTTGTGTTCTGGCTTCCTGGCCAAGATCTATTTTCTTGCTAGGACTGTTTTGTGTTTCTCTTGTTTCCATATGTCTTTTTTTCTCCTAGGCTGACCTGGCCCAGTGGGCATGGGGGGTGTTTCATGATGGATAATAATGAAAATAATGTCTAATTTCCTGAAAAGGGTGAATCTTGCTCTCTTTGCAGGCTGTACATCTGCTTCTGTCAGAAGCTGTGTTTTTCTTGCCCTAGTGATGTTGTTTCCCTGCCTTACTTTTTGAACCTTTTGAACTTCTTCTGGAACATTATTACTTAAGCTATTTGGTTAATTTTTCTACTGTCATAAATAGTCATTTGAGACAAAATGACTGCTGTGGTTGTGGTTTATTTCTGTGCCCTGAGGATCACCCTGAAGTTATTTTTGTCATGCTAGCAATAGCTAAGCTTGATCCTATCCTGATGATAGAATCTGTAGGGGTGAATTCTTTCCTGGTTTCCATTGGTTTCTGTGTAGCTCTCTGATGTAGCCAGGGATGTTGCCCTTCAGCAAAGCTGGTCTGTTGCTGCAGGCTGTGGAACAGAGGCCAGTGGCACTTGGAAAGTTCCCTGCTCAGCAGAGGGACACAGAGGGACCAGCCTGGGACAGGGGACCTGGACCATGTCCTGGTGCTGCTCCTGGGAACTGCCCTCAGGTCAGCTCTGTTGGCAGCTCCCAGGAATCCTACAGGACGGGATTGCTCACTTGCCCTAGAAGGCTGAAGCATGGAAGGCAGATTTCTAAAGATTTCTAGTGCTTTCTTTTCTAGAAATTCATATTTCTATTTGCTAATAGAGGCCAGTTCTGTGTTTGCAGGTTTTTTCCCTAATTCATGGATCCACTCTTCAAATGTGCAGGATTTTCTTTCATCTAATCATGCCAGTTATGTAGCCCTTGTAAAAATGCTTTGAGAGGATGTGACTCACCATGCAGAAAATGTATTTTTAACCAGTAGGGTTGAACAGTAATGTACCATATACTTTAAATCACTGTTGAATAAACCTTTGCTCACTGTGTTGGCAGGGTTTTTTTTCATCCTCAGAGTCAATTGAGGTAAATGATGGACAGTTTAAGCAATGCACCTAACTGTTTAAAATTTTGCAATGAATTCCTCCTTTCATATTGGATAGCCAAATCAGTTCATTAGGACAAAGACTCTCCATGTTGAAGAAGAGAAGAAAATTCTACCATTGTGTATCAATATGTTTTAGATTTTTATCACTGTAGACAACACAGTGTATTCATTAAACTGACAAAAAGAGGTCTCATTATACAGTGCTTTTATATGGGAGGTGTAGATTTCTAGGGTTGTTTTATCTAATGAATTTGTCTTGCATGTGAAAGGACAACTGAGTATGAAATCAATTTGGACATGCCTTAAAGTGTAGTATTTCTTAGTTCTGCATTGATTAAATGAGAGCATTAATATGTTACAGATTGCAACTGTAGCAAATGCCAATTTGTTTTCTTCCTCAAGACCACATATCTCATCATCTAAGTATTGTCAATTTGCAAATTGCAGAAAAATGTAGAATTAGATTGCACTGCCTAATCCTCTTAGCATTAGGGTAGTAAATGTTTTGTTATGAGTAAGTTGTTTGCTGTCTAGTGAGATCAAAACTTTGCTGGGAGGCCATGGTCAGGGGATTTTATGTAGGGGTTTGTGCACAAATTATGTGAATGAAATACATTTGTATAGTCACACTGTTGGTGGTGAGAAGCTCCCCTGCTGGGTTTAAGCAGTACCTTCCAGGCTGTGGCTGGTTTGTTTGGCTGCCTTGCTGCTGGGTGTCCTGGTGCTGGCCAGGACAGGGCTGATTCCCTGCAGTGTCTGGGAGGGGCACAGCCAGCACCCAGGTGTTGTTCTGTTGGTCCCAGCTCATGCCAGGGCTGGGGCTGGGGCTGGGACTCTCCTGCTTTGGAGAAGGGGGTTCCTTCCTGCAGAGAAACGTGCTGGGCAGAATGGTCCCTTTGGGTGTTTGGTTATTGTCAAGGGTTTCCCATGTAAATCTTTTCTTTGACCTTTTGCTCTTAATTTTCTTGCTGTTCGTTTTCTTATCTCATTGCTGTTTCCAGAAAATCATTCTTGTCTCAACCCATGATCTTTGCCTTTTGTACTTCCATTGGGAGGGGCAGGGGAAGGAAGTGGCACTGTGGTTCTAGTAGGAGCACTAAAGAAAGCAAATGGGATGACTTTTGAAGGATATTCTGCTCCAAAGGTTTGAAAGCTCACGAATGAGGAGTTGAGGGGAGTTGTAGGGGAATCATATTGTTAGTCCTGAGGTGGGTGGGTGAGCAGCTTCCAGCTGGAGGGGAAGGGGGCAAGTGAGTGGCAGTGATGCTGTGGTTTTGGCAAGAGCACCAAACTGGACAATACTATGGCTAAAGCACCACAGTAATTAACAGTGAAGTGTGATTGGAGTCATCAGCCTTTGAAGGCTCACAGTCATAAACAGGTGGCCCTGTGGCTGCTCACACAGGACCCACAGCTGCCATGAGGTGGGTGGAGCTGAGACAGTTCTGTCCTTAATCTTTGACTTCCTTAAGAAAGTGCCCTACAATATATGCTGTGTCTAGGAGGTCTAACATCTTGTTTTCTAGCTGGCATTACACCAGAAAGTCTGTCTTGTGTTCAGCTGATGACCTCCTGGCTCTTCTCCACCCACCAGCACCCTCCTCATTCAGTCCTGCTGCCTCTCTGTGTGTTTAATGAGCTTCCCCAGTTGACAGCAGACCAGAATTTTAAGGAACTGTCACATAGTGGGTGGTCCCAGCCAGCAATACTTGGATTTCTGGCAGCACAAAGACAGTTCAAGAAGAGCCTGATGCCTTGAGAAGGCTGACCTAGAACAGAGGCTGGATGGAGCTGAAGAATAAAGCAGGGATTTATTAGAAGGCCTCAATGGATGCACCTTGGGCTGCACCCAGGATGAACCAAAATGGTCCCAAAATGCACGAGCGCTCCCAGGGTCTCTGCCTTGGATCAGTTCTGCTCCATTTGCATCTTGCAGTTCATTGTCCCATTCCAGCTTTAGCCCCTGCAGTCCCATCCTTGTTTTTCTCTCTCCAGCCCATGGGGTTTGTGCTTTTGGGCTGAGATTTGAATCATTTGTCCTTGGTGCCCAGCTGGAGCAGGAATTGTTTTGTCTCCCTGCTCTGTGCACAGAGCTCACCATCCCCTAATGTGAAGCTCAGAACTGCACACTAAAGCAGCACAGAATCTGAAAAATATAAGAGCTAAAACCTGAGGCATGGCCAGGAAAGGTAAAATCCAGGGGCTGTGGCTGAAATGGCTTTTCTCAAGAGTGAGCTGCTGTAAGCCTGCACCAGTGTACAACTTTTCCCTCTTTTTTGAATGCTCAGGTGAGACAAGTCTTCTTTTACGAGGTTCATATTTGGCTCATTTAATTTGCTTTTGATTTCATCCATTTGTGTTTGTGGTTAAAGTGACCAATTCAGTTTGTTGAGATGTGGATTTTCAGAGTCAAAGTCAGCTGCCTTCTGTAACTGCCCTTTCCTGTGCTTTATTTTCTTTTGTTATTTCACAATAACCAGTTTACTCCTATTTGCATAGAGCTGGTGTTGGACTCTCCAGTGCTGCTCTGTCTCCTTACATTTGCCTTCATTGATCAATTTTCTGTCTGACATACTGATGACATTACTGAAAGATTGTGTAGATTTTGTGTCTCTTGTTACAGCTGCAGCATAATTCTGTGTCTTGGTGTTCTATGGTGGTGTCAGTTGGTGTTCTCCAGCCACACAGGCAGCTCAGGCTTTTGGGTTCTTAGAATCTTCATAGATTGATTTTACTATGTCATTCATATATTTTCTTCTGTATAAATTTGTATTTTCCTGTCAGTTTACTTCCACTGTAGAATTATTTCTGCATTGGTCTACATAAGTGATAATTTTTGAGATGGTGATGATTAAATTGAAAATATGCCCTTCTGATACTTTGTTGTTTCCAAGTGACCAATTTTGTTATATAGTGATGCATTATTCTGTCACTGGTGAATGGCTTTTTGTCTTGAGATGTTTTTACAGTGATTTCCCATTAATACCCATAATATTCAAGACCATACAGCTTGTCCTTGTTGAATGTTGTAATAAGTTTTTGGTTTGAGCTACTAGCCTTCTCCTTAGTAGGGTTTTATAAGTTTATGAGCATCTGTTTCTGAAAAAGAGAAATATAGGGGGGTTTTCTGCTTTCTCAGGACACAGGAAGACCCTTACACAATTAAAAGTGACTTCTGAGTAATTTTTTTTTTAATTGGATTTGTGCTTTCATTGGTCCCTTCTGAGGTATAAAAGAATGGTTAATAACCTGGAATAGATTGAATTTTTTTTCCTTCAAAAATGTGGGAAAAGGAACTGTTGCCTCATAACATTCTTTTGAAGAACTTTTGGGAGCTTGTAGCATTTTAATTCTCTTAAATACCCTAACTGGAGAGCCAACAGTCCTGAGCAGACAAAAATATCCTTGATGCAGAACACTCCTTAGGCATTTAAATTGTAAGCAAAAAACCCTTTAAACAATGCTTGAAAATCCATTTGTGTTCCACCTAATTACTCAGCTGCTTGCTCCATTTGCCACTGTGGTGTTATTGTTTAGAGAGCTTCAAAATCACTCCAAGATTACATGAATTGCTCATGTAGAAAATAAACAGAAAAATAGTGAAGTGTCAGAGGCCAAGGCGAGTGTGGAGCTTCTGCTTTGCCTCTTCTGCAGATTGGAAAAGACATGGAGAGGTCATTTTCCTTTTCACCATCCTCTAAAGCAAGCTTGTTTATCACATGGCCACCTTCTGTGCACACAGAAGTGGGAAGGCATGAAACAAAGGATGAAATCTGCAATTTGCTGGGTTTAATTTCATTGAAGGGTATTTGAGGAACAAAGTGAAAATCACAGAATAATTTGGAATGAGTGCCTGGAGGTCAGGCTGGTCCCCCCCACAGCAGTGAACTGATAACCCAGCCTTTTATTGTTGCCAAAAGAAGTGTGATAAGCATGTCTCAAACATACTCTTACACTGGCTTCTGCACATTCTTGAAATTATGTATATGGTTTTGTTTCATGTATTTCAAAATTAAATGCATTCTTCTCCCTGGGTTCTCTGTTGAATTCTTATACAATACTTGTTTTTCACTTTACTTCCTCAGAGAATACATGGTTTAAAAAAAAGAAAAGGGTATGTAGTCTCTGCTGTTGTGGCTGGCTGCTTTTTAATATTAATATCTTTGTGTTTTTTTAGGTTTAATGTGAACAACAAAATTCTTCATCCTGAAATTGCAGAATGGTGAGTTACATAAAATCTTTCTTTTGGAGTAGTGTTGAACATGCTTATATTGAACCATTGCTTCAGAGGGGCTCCCTCAGCTGAAACCTCCTACTTTACTACAGGAGTTTTAATTTTAAATTGATTTCATCTTATGGACTGGAAATAATGGACAAACATAATAATAGGGCAAGGTAACAGCATTGAAAACCAAAGAATTTATGTAACATTTCTTAAGCATTTTATCTGGATGCACATTTCTCTAGGATGTGTTAGGGTTTAAGTCACATTTGTGTAAATATAAATTTGTATGAATGGGAAAGGAACTGAGGAGAATTTATGGTCTAGTAACAGAAATCAAATGTAGATCAAAACTCTGTCTAAACAGGTAGTATTTAATGAGGTGTTATTTCTTCTCCAGGATTTATTTTAATAACCTTAATTTTGTTGAATTATTATTCCTATAACTGTACTTTGTAATTCTTGGGGAACTCTGCTTTAGCCTATCTGAAACCAACAAACTAGATGTGTGACTAAGTGCAAAGCTGCTCCATTTTATTACTTTTCCTCTTTTGGTCAACATTGCTGACTTTGTCCACAGGATTGCTCCAACTAAGGCTCTCTAGTTTTCCATTTAGAAAATTACTGAAGAAACATAGTAGTGGATGAAAGAACATAGTAGTAGATTTTTGTTAATGAATTAGGTTTTTATCTTTTTTTTTGTGTGTGGATTAATCTGGAAATGAGGAAGCAAATCCTTAGTTAAGACAGATAAGCTTAAAATACAAAACACAGGTGCACCTTCTGGCTCCCACTGTGGCAGAGCAGTGTATTGCATGCTCCTACATATTATGTTTTTAATGCTTATTTTCAGCACATATGCTGAGAACCATCTTCTGCTGTCTCCATCTACAGCTAATTGCCAGCTTGAAAACTGTGGAGATGTAATGTGAACATCAGTGATTTTTGGAACATTTAGAGTTGTTAAAAGGTCACATATCTGTTGTGGCAGATATTTTTCATTGCTTGGCAGGACATAAAGCTGCAGAAGGGAAGTGGGGAGGCTTTGTGTAGACAGACATTGTTCCATCCCTGAGTTGTGGGTGTGCCTGGAGCTGTGGGATTGGACTCATGTCCTGCTGCTGGGTGTCAGGGGGGCTGATCTTTAGATCCTGCCTATTCTAGAGTTTGTGCCAGTCCTTTTCCTAAACAGAGAAGTTATGTTATGTTATGTTTGTTATGTTATATGTTATGTTATATTATCTTATGTTTCCAATGTAGGGTTCCAATGTAGGGTTCTGTCATGGTTTAACACTGGCACAATGCCAGTGCCCCCATGAAAATACCTTCTCCCTGGTTTCTGCTGTGAGATGTGACCAGGAATAAGCAAAGCAGGCTCCTACTTAGGGAAAAAACAACCAGAACTTTATTAACTACTCTACAACTACAGATAAAATGAAACACACACACAGGGAAAATGAAAACCTCACAAATGCATTTCCTCCTCCCCCCACCAAATTCCAACACAATATTAAAGTCTGAATATCCATTGGCCAAAAACACAGCATCCCAAAAAACACATTTCCTGTCAAACCACCACAGGTTCCTATGTAGGGTTCCTATGTAGGGTTCCTATGTTTCTTAATGTTCATTATGTTATGGGCTTGATTTCTGAGGAACAGGGCCTGGAGAGGGCCTGTCTGACTTCCCAGCTTTGCACTGAAGACACAGCAGGACAAGAGGGACAGAGATGGCAATTTTAGCTGCAGAAGGCTTTGGAGAAGGGCTCCAGACTTTTTCCCAAGGTAGCTTTCAGCTTGTTTCCATCCACCTTACCAAGGTGTCATGAGTTTTTCCCCTCTGTGGTTTCAATTAAAGGGTGATTAAGTCTTCTTTAGGAAGCTCAGGTAAGGACAAACATAAGGTCAGTGCCCTGGAGGTTGTGCTGAGAGAGGTGGAGCACTGAGGCAGTGAAAAGGCAGCACCTGGAGCTGGGGTGGAAGGAATCATCTCTGAAGGAATCATCTCTTCAGTGAGTTGTGAGAGGCAGCCTGGAATTCTGATTCAGTTCTTCCTGCAGCCTGACTGAAGAGGGATGCTTGGTATGCACCTTCCCTACACCTGGCTTTCAAGGAAGGGGAATTCTAAGTAAAGAGAAAGTTCAGATTTGTATTCAGAGGTGTTTTAAAAGGTTTTACTGAGTTTGGTGGTGTTCATTTTAAGTCAGAAGTATGTTAAAGATGGTTGTTAGGATTTAAGTGGCTGGTGAAATTACCATGTGAATGACAGGTCATATTAAAGCTTACTAAAGTAGAAATCTCCTTGGAATGTCAAATTACCAACCAAGAAAGTTTGTTTGAAAAGCAATATTCTTAGAGTTAAGAACATTTTTCTTTTAGGAAGATGAATTCTTGTGGGTTATATTCTGGGGTAAGAAATTGCATCCTTTGAATCATCTCCTTGCAGGGATGCATTTCATTTCAGATTTGGCAAGCTCTGAACTACTGTGTTTTACATGGTACTTGTCAGAAAAACTTTGCTCTATGCCATGCTGTCAAACTGCCAGCTAGAGATGAAATGGCTGAGCTTTCTGAACCAGCCAGGGGGAACTGGGAGCTACAAAAGGCAACTCTAGTATTATACAGTCCTCTAATAAAATGCAGAAAAAATGACAAGAGGCAAAGTGTTTGAGGTTAAGGATCTGTTGCCTCTCTTGCTTAATGTTTCAAGATCTCATCATTTTCTGACTTGCTATGGAACTTAAAGATGAAACAGAAGAATTCAACCTTACACTAGATTTCAGCAGTTTGCAGATGGTGTTTTATTTATATTTTTTCGTTTTATTGAGTGGGTGTATTTCCAAACAAATTTTAAAACTTTCATTTTAAATTTAAAGGCTTCTACTTCAAATTTCATGGATATGCTAAGTATTGATTGCAGTGTTTTGAAAAGGAAATGCCATCTAACAGAAGAAAGAATTCAAACTTGTCTAAATTATCTCCTTAGCAATCAGGAGGTTTTTTGACACCAACACTTAGCCAAATGGCCTTTTGTTCTTGTAATTTGCCAGTGTCTATCATAATCCTGTTGCTGCTAGAAGTAAACATGTAGTAATTTGCAGCTTTGTGCCTGTATATACTGTATTTTCCTGTAAACCCAGTGAAAATGAACTTTGATAGTTTTACATGGAAGATTTCCTATGTTCTGTTTTTTGCATTATTGTGATGGAAAGCTATAAATATTTCTTTGGGAAAACTGATCTGTATGTTAGTATCTTAAAACTGTGCATTTGCTTTTTGTGTTTTCAGAGGTTTTTCTGTCTATGCTGTAAACCTCTTAACGTTTTTTTGAACTCCTGTCTTTGGTGTTCCTTCACCTGTCTCTCAGAATTGTACTGTGATGCCTCTCCTTTGCAAATGGGCATTGCTGTGTTTGCTGCCTTTTATGCTAATCCAGTTAGCAAGTTTTTATGCATTGCAGAAGAGCATAAATGTATCAACTGTGGTAGAGAAATTTCTATAAATAAAACGTGGAAAGGTAGCGGCAGAGGTGAGAAAGGGTAAAAATAAGGTAGGTCTGTGAAGTCTGCCCACATGGGCATCATCCTTATGTATTAGGTGGTCTGTAAATCTGATATTTCCAGAAGGAAAAGGAGGCGTGGACATTCCCAGGTGTTTTCCATGTGTGTCACAGAAAGGAGACATTAAGGTTGCACACATGGACCAAAAGGCAGCAAAACAAGCCAGCTGATAAAGCACTCATCTGATAAGTGGAAACAAATACTTCTGGCAGCATTATCAGAGCTGCAGAATGCTCGTGGAGAACCAATTTATGTAGCTTTGAGGAGAGCACTGGTTTAGGAAAATACAGTTGAGTTATGCGAGTTTCAGCCTCATAATTGCCTCAGATTCTGTGTGCTCTTCACCACTTGATTAGGTCATGCATGTAATTTGGTATCCAGACATTTAAAGTGCCCAAATGCACTTTCAGGATTGAAATGATTCTTGTTTATATTAAAGTTTCTCTGTCCTGCTGGATGACTGACGTGGGTGAAAAGACCAGCTGCTCATATGGCTAAGTGAAAATAAAAGTAGAAAATGTGTGGAAAAGGAGAGTGAGGAAGAAGAAATGCTTTTACACTGGCAAGATGAGAGGGGGAAAGAAGGTGAAAGTTATAGGTCAGTCCTGACACTCAGAGACTTGTGCTTTTATTTCAACTAGACTGCACTGAGTGGCCCCCCAGCTAATCTGAGGAGTGTCTTACCTGTGCAATCTGTACATTGTGGCAATTTGCATTAGCTGGAGCCTGGAAATTATTTCTTCCCATTAAAATATTAATGCATTTATGCAGAGGCTGTAACTGGTCTAAGAGCTGTTTTTAATAGAACGTTGAAGTTCACATTCATGAAAAAAGGTGGGATTTTCTTCCTGTCCTTATTTTGGAAGTGGGGGAAAACATCATGAGAACTGTGGACACTCATCACAAGATTGCCCTGAAGTGCCAAACACTGCTGTAAACCTGGCTTGGGAGGGTGCTGCCTTTTGCACTGTCCAGACACTGAGAAGGTGGTGAAATCCAGGCTCTTCTACTTAGCCAGGCAGGATGTGGGAGCTCCATCAACAGTACCACTGCAACCCAGGAGCCCAGGGGCTGCTGATCCTGCTCCCTGCACATCCTCCCTCTCCTTCCTCCCTCTCCTTCCTCCCTCTCCTTCCTCCCTCTCCTTCCTCCCTCTCCTTCCTCCCTCTCCTTCCTCCCTCTCCTTCCTCCCTCTCCTTCCTCCCTCTCCTTCCTCCTCTCCTTGGCCAGTGGTGTTTGTTGGTCTCAGAATGACTAAATATTTTCTGTGAAGGATTTTGGTGCCTGACCTTGTGTAAATGAAGGAGCTGCATTGCATAAATAGTCAGGCTGAGGCTGAGTGTGAATTCCTATTTTCACACAGATACCTGAGAAGCTGTGATCTAATACAAATACATTGATCCTGAAGCCTTGTGCCCAAGCCAAGGGAAATGGTTTCTAACACTGTCTGCACTTGCTGTGGAGCATTTACTAACTTTTATTACCAGCAGATTGCAACAAAGAGATCAGACAGCTGAATTATGAACTCTTTTTCGGGCAGTTGCAGATCATGGATATGTACTTTATACTGAAAGTAATATAAAGGCACATCAAACAAGTATTAAATTACCCTGCTAGCACATGCAGTCTTCCAAGAAATAGGATTAAAAAAAAAATTAAAAATCTGTAAGCCTTTGCTGCCTCATTCTAACAGAAATATATTTGAGCCACTCTTTTTTTATGTCTTGGCTGAAAGACAGCAGTGGAAGTTTGTTTCCTCACTCACAGGCAGCAGATTTTACCATCCCAGTGTAATTTTTTCACCTGGGTGTGCATTTTAAAACCTTGTACTTCTCATTCTCAATTGCATAGTGATTATTTTGTGTCATCTTCCATTTGACTAAGTCAATCCACTCCTCTCTACAGTGTTTCTGTTTGTAAAAGCATTCTGACCAATATCAGGATTTTACAAAGGTACCTTTACTCTTGCCAGAAGAGTTGTTTGATGGGAGTGGCTGTGCTGTAGTAATGCACTGTCTGTGGGAAATGCTGTAATCTCACATCAGAGGCACTGATGGCTGAGAAACCTGTTTCTGGACTCATTAAACTACAGAGCAGAAATACAGTAAATAGTTTTCTACAGCAGTGTGAGGAGGAGCATGAAACAATGAAAAGAGGGGTCTTGGTGGCAGTTTCAAAGTATAACAGTTATGATTCTTTGTAACTGCTGCAGACCCTGGAGTGCAGCTTGAAAACATGATTGAAATATTTTCATGCAGTTCAACAGATGTAGTTCTGTACTTTGTAAACAGTAAGTATGTACTTCACAGCTGCCTTTGAGATGGGTATGAAAAATACCAGGAATTCAGTTTGTCTAACAGTGGAAGGAGTATGTGGTGTTTAATAGAGGTTATGGAACTGTGTCTGCTTTACTGTGCATGTCCCACTCAATAGCTGCTTTTATTTGAAATACATGATAGAGATGCATGTAGAGAGGAGTTAAATGTGCATTTTTCACATGAGTTCAGAAGAGAGTATCAAGGCTTATAAACATACCTGAATTCAGTATCTCATAAGGCACAAAGAGCAGGATGGGGTTTTTAGGGCATTGGTCTGTTTGGGGTTTTGTGTTTTTTATCTTCCTTCAGAAGCATGTGAAAGAATGAACATCATGGCTGTAATTATTGCTGCTGTGGTTTCTGAATTCGGGGTTTGGGTTTTTGAATACCAAACAAAAATAGCATTTTTCACATCACCCCTTGCCCACCTTTTGAGGTATTGCAGATAGGTGGGAGTTGGGATTGTGAACAGAAATTCTGAAGCTCTGGGAATTTGAATATGTTAAATAGTTTCAAATTGTGTTTAAAAGGAAATCAAGCATGCTTGTAGAAAATGTTCCATTTGAAGTAGTGTTAGAGTTATGACAAATGCAGAATTACATTGGTTTTCTTCCTAATGTATTGTAGAAGAGTTGAAAAAATGTTGGTTGAACCACTTGTTTATAAGTATTAAATAGGGCAGGCTGATATTTGAAATTCTTGTGACTTTCCTTTGTAAGATTGTTTTGCTAATGCTGAATCAATGCCAACAATACTTTGCTGTCATGAATACTGTAATAGCTGTTTGCTCTTGAGGTGTACTTGATCTAATCTTATTATAGGTGATGCATATAATTTTCAGGGTTTTTTCATTTTGCATTCTTTAGCTGTGGGGTTGCAGTCTAACATGCTGTCTGTTGTTCTTCTCTTGAAGTCGTGTCATTAAGACAGACATGGAGTTGGAAGTTCTGCGCTACACCAATAAAATCTCCAGTGAAGCTCATAAAGAGGTAATGGATCCTTTACTGTTAATAATTTTTGCTCTTAGTGTAGCAGTGGTACTCAGAAAATGTCCCCAGCAACCCAGAATTGCTTAGTAATAAAATAATGGAAAGGCTGGATAGAAATAAGAGGATAATATCCCTCCTATTACAGCCCAGTAATGTACCTTGCATTGCCCTTGAACTCAGCAGTGCGTTTGTGATGTGTGAGAAATGAAGTGTGGGTTTGGGTAAGAGCTCACCTCAGCAGAAGGTGACCTGCTTGCAGTCAGTCTGTTCTGTGTGCACAAATACCTGCATCACGATGGAGAAATAAAAGATCAAGATTATTCAGGCCCATGTGCAGCTCTGAAAAGCTTGACTAGCAGGTGACTGTCCCCAGATCCTGGTGGGCTGGGGGAGTCTTTCCATGCACAGTGTGGGACAGGGAGAGGATTCCTCAGGGTGCTCCTCAGAGCTGGGTGAGTCCCTGGGGCACTGCTGAGCCCTGCTCTTGTGTTGCCATACCAGAGTGGCAATGCCAGGTCCAGGCTCTCAGGCTGGACCAGGCACTACCCAGGGGAGCTGCACCCCTGTCCTGGTGGTCATGACAAAACCAGCCTGGGTGTCACTCCTGTGCTCCATACAGAAATGCAGATGTGCCCATGAGATCACCGGGGGAGCTTAGGTAAAACCAGCTGGTGAGGTTGCTGTCTCAGCTTGTCTTGGCTCCTACTCCTCAGATATCCAAACTATGAAGGGTAAGAATGTGCTAAAATGAATATTGGAAAATTGAAAACTCAAAGGGTAGTTATTTTGCATTCATATTCCTTGGTTTTTCGTCATCCTTGAATAATCTTATCACATCTGAGAGTACTTTTTTTCTGTAGAGCAGCTGCCTAGAACTTCTATAATACAGAAATAAAATAATAAAACTTTCTTAGCAAATCTGAGAATAAGGATCAGATTTATGACCTGTAAACTGGTGTTGACTCCAAGAGTTTTCTATTGATTTAAACTATAAAAGAGACTCTCCCATTGTAGGCTAATCCAGTTCATAGCTTTGTTTTGCCTGAGTAGAACAAAAGGCCTTGCTGCCATGTTCACCACAGCTTTCACAATTGAACATTGGTATTTTGGTGGGCTGCACTTCATTGGGATATAGTAGTTTGGCAATTAAACTTGCTTTATTGCTGGAGACTGCAGGCATTTTTAAAGATTTAAGTGTTTGATTCCAGTGTAGTTTTAAAATGCATGTTCTGATGTAAATTTAAATGAAGTACAGATGATATTTTTGTAATATAGGTTTCTCTGGAGATAGTCATAAGTCATAAATTTATAAATATGAGATTTCTTCCTGCTCTGATGGTCCCATGCTAATATGTATCTTACAGGTAATGAAGGCTGTAAAAGTAGGAATGAAAGAATACGAGCTGGAGAGGTAAGAGTTCTTATACTAATTATAATAAAAAAAGATAATAGCTCTGTAGCAGGGGGAAAAGCAATAGCTGAGACAATGCACTAGCTTGGATTGAGACTGAGAGTTCATTGGTGTTTGAAGGCCATTGTAAGTATTATTTTGTTATTTTGAGGTGATACTTCATCTGTTTCAAACATGCATTTGATGAGGGGTGATTATTTTTTGGTTAAGTGTAGCATATCTCTCTTGCTGGAGTTACAGTAATTTACAGAAGCTTGATAAAATAGCTGTTTTCATTGTTTGAAGCCATCCAATAAAACTGGGTTTATGGTTAAACATTGCCTTTAGTCTGGTTGTGCTTGAAGGCTGCATGAGTGGGTGTTTAAGTGTCTGATGAAGGGCTGTGTGCCATTACATTTTTTCTGCAATTACAAGGCAGCAGTACCTGTACTCAGCCTGCACAAGGAGCTCAGATCACACATGTGATGGGTGTTCTACAGCTGCTGAGAAGTCAATAAGAAAACAGCAGATATCTCTAGTGTTGAAAAGAATGTGCTGTACAGGCATCCATGAGGTGTTTGGCTGGTCCTAACTGATACACTAATGATGTGTCTAGATCTAAGGAAAACATTGCCTCCTCTCTTGAATCAATATTTACATTAGATCATCAGCATTTATCACATAAAGCATGGTTTTGATCATCAAGTCCATTTATTTTTAGATTGTACGTGGTATTTTCAATTTTCAAAGTCTTTGCATAATGAAAAAATAGAAAATAGCAATCATATATCAGTTACTGTTGTTTCTTGGCAGTAATTTTTCAAAGGCTTGTAAGCAGGCTAGAGCAGCACCCAGGGAAGGGAATATAAAGAGACCACAGTATTTGTCATCAGGATCTCAAGGTAGCTCAAAAGACAAATAAAGCCCTTAGTTCCATTTAAGCAGTTTAAATTTCTTAAGATACTATATTCTCATGCCTATAATTTGTCAGTGCCTCAAACTGCATTTACACACACCACCAGGTAACAGGGAAAATAAAATATTGGTTACATTTTGTCTTTATTTTTGAACTTGGTGTTTATTTTACTCACTGGCCATGCTATACATGCCAATAGTGAGATTTTGGCTCTAGAAATCATTAGCAATCAAAAATTTCCCTAGAGCAGAATTTCTTCTCAGGTGCTTTTAAATGCCAGTTTGATTTAAATGTCATACAACAACTACTTACATAAACACTCTTCTGTAAGTCTACAAGGTATATTACCTTTTTTCTCTGGGACTTTCATTCTTCCCTGGCTAGCTCTTTTCACACACATCAACCATTTGAAAAGATTATTTGTGTCTTTCAATTGAAAAAAAATAAATAACTTAAACAGCTACTACACCTATTTAAAATTGCCTTCTATTCTTCCATAACTCTTGATGGATTACACTTCTTGAAAGAGTTTGAAGTTATTTAGCTAATGAAAGAGGTCTTGGCAGACTGCTCTACTGTGTCTGCCTTGGAGACTATAATTAGAATTTCAGTTTCTTTTACTGAATTCATCCCTGCACCTGTTCCTTTAGGGGAAAAGGGCCCTAAAAATTTAAACTGTCTGCTATTCTTCTGTCTGCTAGGAAGAATAATTGCAGAGATCCCAAAAGCAATTAAAATTGTCTGGTACTGGATGTAGGACCTAAGTGTTGCCTTTTCTTTGTCTATTTGGTTAAACACTGGTAAATTATTTTGAACCAGTAATGTGTTAATGCTGAGATATATAAAAAATAAATGCATTTAACTGCAACTCCAATCAGCCCTGACTTCTTTTCTGGTTTGATATTATTTAACTTTAATGTGTGGTCGGTTGACTTTAAGGAGACAGCCAAGGCAATTATCTACAGACAGTAATTCACAGCATGTGTAATTGCATATGAAGTCATTTTGGTAGGTCAGATTCTGGGTTTTCTCTGAAGCAGTTTGTTTAGTGTTTGTGCTTATCTCATGTTTAATTAATCTTCTTTAATTAAAGGCTGTTAATTATGAAACTGCTCTGTAGTGAATATATTGTTCAAAATATAGCAAAATGGTAAAAAAAGTCTTCAGCTTGAGAAGTGTGTGAATAAAATCTGTGATTCCAGCAAAGTTGAGTGTGAGCATATAGACAAAGATGTTTTGTGTCTCTATAAAAACACACTGAAAGCACTAATTAGGACCTACAGTTATCTGTTTCAGAGTTCTCTGAAGGCCTGGAGATAATTCCTGTAGATCAGTGTTTATCAATTTCTAGATTTTATCTGTGTATTATCAAATTAAGTGTGGAATCTTCTGTGCATTGCCTCATTTGTTCCCTTTTTATTAAAAAGAACACTTTTAAGATTAGGGTACTTGGAATGTCAGTTTGGTTGGGGAATGATGTGAAAGTGATGCTGTAGCAACAGGTGAGGGACTTCCTGCATCAGGAGTTCTGGACACACAGCTATTGTGTGCATTGCCATTTTTGTGGGGGTTTATCCCCTTCTTAATAGCACTGAAGGTCCAAATGGCCAAAATATCAGAATAAGACTCCCCAGCACTAAAGCTGTATTAAAGAGGGCATCATTTATTCGGGCCTGAGGTTCATGCTGGAGATCCTAAGATCCTAACCTAATGTGGACATGTGGTTCTATGTGTGTTTCTTATATACAGTTACTATGTGCATATTAAAATTTAGCTGTTACCATAAATCCCACCCCATGTTCCCAGAGGTTCAGTCCTTTGTTTTCTCTGTCATGGCCTTCTTGAGCCAGATGTCTTCTTTTCTTCCAACTGTCCTTGCTGAAAGCAGCGTGCTGAAAGCATGTTAGAGTGAATTAACCCCTTTGGTGTCACTGTGATAGGAGTGTGTGCCCAGTCCTGGGTTCCTTGGATAATGATGTGTTTATTTCTCACTGCTTGAGGATGCCAGGCAGCACTAGAGCAGCCCTAAACAGCCATTCCCTTGTCCCACCCCCCCGGATTGTGTGACTGTCTCTGAAACCTCTGTGGCTGCTGAACACTGGGGGTTACCATGCAAATAACTGTGATTGCAGTGCCCAAAACCTGGGGCCTGATCCTGCAAGGGGAGCCTTCTAAAACAGAGGAGCATGGGGGAGTGTGCCCTGTACAGTGTGCAGGGAGCATTGGCTGGTGCACAGGGGGCAGTGGCTGGTGTACCCTGTACAGGGAGCATTGATCAGTGTATAGGGAGCACTGGTTAGTGCACAAGGGGCAGTGGTTAATGTACAGAGAGCAGTGGCCAGTGCACAGGGGACAGTGGCCAGTGCACAGGGGACATTGGCCAGTGCACAGGGGACATTGGCCAGTGCACAGGGGACAGTGGCCAGTGCACAGGGGGCAGTGGCCAGTGCACAGAGAGCAGTGGCCAGCGCACAGGGGACATTGGCCAGTGCACAGAGAGCAGTGGCCAGTGCACAGGGGACAGTGGCCAGTGCACAGGGGGACAGTGGCCAGTGCACAGGGGGACAGTGGCCAGTGCACAGGGGGACATTGGCCAGCGCACAGGGGACATTGGCCAGTGCACAGGGGCTGTGGCCAGTGCACAGAGCAGGCAGTGTGGGCAGCAGGGGAGGGGATTCTGCCCCTCTGCCCCTCAGTGATTCCCCACCTGCAGAGCTGCCCCAGCCTGGGCCAGCACACTCAGGACCTGGAGCTGCTCAGAGAGCCCAGAGGAGGCTCCAGGATGAGCAGAGGGATGGAGCAGCTCTGCTGGGAGGAAAGGCTGGCACAGCTGGCATTGCTCACCTGCACAGGAGAAGCTGCTTTTGTGACCTTCCAGTACCTCAAGGGAGCTACCAGAAAGATGGACAGCCACTACTTAAAAGGGCCTGGATTGACAAGACAAGGGGGAATGGCTTCAAACTGACAGAGGGCAGGGTTGGATGGGATATTAGGAAAAAATTCTTCATTGTAAGAGAAGTAATTGTGGGGATTTTGGAGCAGTTAATACTAAACTTAAACTCCACTCTGCTCTAAAGGCAATAATTTGAAGAATAAAATGGCAAGAAGGCAGCTACAGAGGTTTTTTCTTGTTGGTTTACAATGCTTACAGACTATTTTTACACCTTGCCTCTCTTACCAGCTGAGGCTGATAAAAGTTCTTTATCCCTATTCTTTTCAGTGCTGTCCCTGATTCCAGAGCAGAGCTTGGGCTCTGAGATGAGTTGCTGTTGTATCTGCCAGTGTTAAATTTCACTATCTGGGGAAGTCTGAGAGCACTCTCACAGATTATGGCTCTCATCTTTCATTTTTCTCTCTCTCCTCTGCTCCAGTGGAACGAACTGAAAATAAAACACACATTTTATTTCACTAAAAAAGAGAAAATAGCCAGAATAATTTTATTTTCCTTTGGGCATTTCCTTTTAGTGAAATGCTGATGATTTTAGCTAATCAGTATTTGCCACTTACCATTTCCTGATGATTTTGCTCTTTGAATGTTTTTGAAAAAGTCACTGACTTCTGCAGCAAATGGTCTTCAAAAATAATGTTTTTTTCATGAGGCTGGATAGTTTTCAGCTCAATTATAAACTTGATAAGTCCTTCACAAAAGTGTGCATAGGTAGTAAATAAGAATTCCCACTGCAGCTGACAAAAATACACAGGTGAATCTTTCACAGTTGCTTTTTGGTGTGGGAATGGTGTTGAATTGTGTCATGACCCTCACTGCTATTTGTGTATGTTTATTAAACAAGATACCAGCACTCCATTAGTCTCAAGCAGCATGTCAGCCTGCTCAGTTACTGATATATCTTTTATGTCTTTTTCTTTTTTTTTAACAGTTAATGTTGTGTAGCCTGGAAATGGCTTGAGTGCCTTATTTCCCAAACTGCCTGGCAGTTAGAGGTGATGTGGTTTTCAGTGTAGGGTGCTCCTATCAAAAGGTTAGTTTTCAAACTTTAAAATACATGAGAAACAGAGAGAGATGGAAGGTGACCTTTTCCTGCATTTTAAAAACCCCAGTGCAATCCAGTAATTTTTCCTTTGTTTCTGCAGGCCTGTGTGGTAG